GAAATGACCTCACTAACTAATATACTACCTCCGTTTTTTATTATAAGAACTTGTTTGACTTTTAATTTAATATAAGACTCCAATCCACTTTACCTTTCATATTTATTGATTTTTTCCAAAGTAGTCCTTAAAATAGTTGTACATATGAAATATTTCATAAAATGGTAACTCTAAGTGATATACATGATTAACAAGGGTGTTTTAGGAAAGAGAACACTTATTTATAATAAATAATTAATTTAACTAATTTTCTTAATCTTTCCAAATTAGTCAACTGGGTCTTATAATAAGGATCGGAGTTAGTATATGTGATTCCTTTCAAGTTGCACGTTCGTACGGCAACTTTCAGTGGCTTTAATTGCTTTCGTTCTGGTTTGAAAATGTATGATAGATATATGTAAAAGAAACAACATGAGTGCGTTTCCTAATGTGAGGAACGACTGGGAGGTCTTAAAGTTGGCAAAGGAGCGAACTGTAGCTGCACATGGAGTTGATTTCTAAAGTAATTTAAAGTTAAAGACAAGCTGTTTCAATTCCTTTGCGAAACTTTTGGTCGCTAGATACTTTATTTTCAAGGTGGATTCAATTAAATATAATGCCTCTTAATTAATTTGACGTTCTGTGTGACCGACGACATATATGGTCTGCAAAGGATGCTAATGAATAAGCCTTTCTTTGTTTTTTGCCTCAAAATGACAACGAGTAAGCCCTTTTTTTTTTTTTTCCCAAAACATCCGCAAAACAAAAGAGCAAAGACCCGACAATGAGATATATAGTACAATAGCTTATTTGACCTTAAATATATGAGCGTCAAATAGTTTGTTTTAATCCCTAATATGAGAGTTTAATCTCTTAACTTATATATTTTCATTATTTTTTCCAAAGTAGCGGTAGAATTAGATTATTGTGTGATGTTTTATAAGTTAATGATATTGATAATACTCCAAAATAAATGATTAAAAAGAATGATACTTTAAGAAAATTAGTACATTTTTTTTTACAAATAACTGAACTTATTTTCTTAAGTCATGTGAATTAGTTAACATTATATTTGCTTTTATAATTAGAGAAAATGATTATGATGTAAATCTTCAAACAAGTGATAAGCAACATGAAACTAATTATCGCTTTCCTGCATCAAGACTACTTATCGTTACATGCATGTTCACGTGTTGTTGTGAGGATTTTTTTTTTTTTAATTCCTTTTGTTTTTGCTTTCGAATCTCACAGTGGTTTTCTCTTGTATTTAAGCCATGATAGAGTATTGTAATTTAGAAATCATGCTAAACAAAAGAGGAAGAAAAGGGAGATCATCTAAAATAATATACAATATAGATTCTTCGAAAGACCCGACGAGGCTTCATTTTGACACCACTTTGCAGAAAGTGGAAATAAATAGTACGTCGTCCCACTCAACAAATGCACCACCAAATCCCTTTTCCAAGCTGGTAAAAGAAACAATGCCATCACTGGCATGGGATATTGGTGCATTTGAAAATATAGATGCCCTTTGTCTAATTATTCGTTTTCTTCGATTTCTCCATAAAACTACTGTTATTGGTTTCTAACTTCGCTATGTCTATATAAATTGAAGCTTTTTTTTTTTTTTTGCGAGATAGACGAAAGAGAAGAACCCGTGACTGTCTTCCTTCAATGAAATGAACAGTGCAATTATACCAAATTGAATACAACTACACAAGTAGGCTAATAATATTATTATTGGGGTCGATCAATGACCACAACGTATAACATAACAACAAATAGTTTTCCAAGAGACGCAAGTAATCAAGTTGAATTTGCAGATAAATGAGCAAGAGTGTATTCTCCAAAAGATTCCTCCTCTTTTCTTCATTTATATCTAATTTCTCTGTTGTGTAATGCCAATCTCCATGGATAAGGAAAGCTCTTGATGCTCACAACACGTGATATCAACAATGAAATTTGATTTTGCATGAACTTCATATGAAAGAAAACTTAATTATTTAAAAGATATGTACAAAATTATGGTGCGCGTGCTGGGCATGAAACGTCTCTTTTGCAGAATAGATAGCGAACTTCACTTATTTTAATGTCAGGTCATTAGTATATTTCATTTCATCGTCCCGAATATTACCCAAATAATAACATATCAGTTCGTTGCTGAATGCAAAGGTATCCTTTGAGAGGGACTATTTAAATCTCTATAAAACTACGTGACAGACCACCTTTCTTCTTGCGCAAAAGTTTTCCTACGTACCTTTTTTTATTTCAACTAATGGAAGAATGCGAAAACGTTTCGGATGGATTTCTTAATACTGAACCAATAATTCTAATGGTGCATATCAGATACAGAATCTCGACACGTATATAGAAGCATATAGTAGCATCATGTAGTACTAGGGAGAATCGAGAGAGAGAAGCTTGTTGCTCAAGGTGTCAATTTGCTTTGGAAGTTGAGGACGAAACAGACACTTTTGTGTGCTTTGGAAGGTTATGCAGATCACATATCACAGTGACTCGATGGAACGTACGAGATCCTATTAAGGTAGGGTTGGCCTTTGTGCATGTGTGAGCTAGGCCTATATAGATATGGGTCACTCTTTAAAGATGTGAAACCAACTTTTTTCACATCAACTTGCATACAAATGGGACTAAAAAGACTTTGAGGTTCAAAATCTGTTGCCCTTCATCTGTAAGCTTCCTATCTTGGAGGAAGAGAGAGAGGAAGGGACCACTTCTTCGTTGCTCTTCGGCATCAGATAATCACCAAAACTACCAACTTCGAGGAAACAATAACTTAACTTTACACTTTTGTCACCATTAACTGATCTCACCCTCTCCCTATTTGCAAATCTAATAAAGCCATTTGCGTTCCTAGGACCTGAATAATGAATACACACACACATGATGTTAAGAGTTGGCCAGAAAAACACAATTTTTTCAAAGGAATATTGGCATTTTTAATTTGATAAAATTAATGCGTTTCAAGTGGCATCCTTTTCTGTGTGACTGTAATGTGTGGTATATATCCATTTTATGAGAGCTACTAAACGCTACAGTTTAAGAATGGAAAAAAGAGATCACGTGACAGGCTGGTGGGAGATGTAAATTGATCTGTATATACTGGTTTTCTTCCTCTTCTTTTTCTCCCAACCATGCATCTTTTACTTTTATGATAGTGGTGTGGGCAATGGTGTAAGACTCTTTTTATCTTTCACAGTACTGCAATTTGCAAAAGGCACGTTAGTAGTCTACAAATTTAAAGAATATGGAGGCGTGATCGTGCTACATGCATGTCTCTAGTTGTTGTCAATATTTAAATATTCTTAGTTTAACAATCACTTTTTAAAGGATTAAAAAACAATTACGATCGCCGGATTAGCCTTAATTATGACGTCGTGATAAATGCACTGCAAGTAATTCAGATTGATGATATTCGGCTTGGATTATTTTGATTCCTTCCCCAAGACAAAAATGAAGTGGCGCGAGAGATTTTTGTCTTTTTAAAAACATTATTAATACTGCCTCTAATCTAGTTTCACATTTAATTTGCTTAAAATATAAGAACATACTTCATCTTATCTCTCATATTTATTTAATTTTTTTGAAGTACTTCTTGTAATAGTTGTGTGTGTGTGTCTATATATATCAAGAAAATCGTTAAATGACCTGGATCGATTATGCAGTAAAATTTAATATGATGTTACTAAACCGTTATCTACTTGTGGACTCTCCTTGATAATTAACGAGACATTAATTTATTTTTGCTAACGGCGACATTAAAATTTTGAGTGCTTCTCTAGTCCTTAATGTAGGACTTAATTAGTAGTTGATATAAGTTCTATATGTAAGATCTTTTTTATTTGTTTATCATTTTTTTTTCAAATTAACTCTATTAATATTTCCCAATAATAATTAAGTAGGAGAAGGGAGAAAGGGATCGGAATTAAAGAAGATACTTATGGTATATTACAAGGCAAAACAAATCATATTAACTAATTAAAGAATAGAATTAAAGAAGATGTTTATGATATATTAGAAAAAATATATCATATTCACTAATTTAACTAAGATCTTTAATCTATTCAAATTAGTTAATTAAGTTACAAGAGATGACTGACTAATTTGAGTAGATTACGTTTGTTAAGTTAATTATTTGTAATAAATAGGTGTTGTCTTTTCTAAAATACTCCTGTTAATTATATATATTAGCTAAAACTATTATTTGATAAAATTTTTAATATGTACAACTACTTTAAAAGAATAAATAAATATGAAAAACAAAATAAATTATGACCTTATATTTAAAATTACATTGAAAGTGAAACTAATTTTTATATTAAGGAGTGAGGGTAGTATTTGAAAAACTTCAAAATGACAGTTTTTAGGGTTAAAGTGCATCTATCACCTTGAAATATTTTTTTCGAATGCATCCAATACTTTAAAGTATTTTTAAGTGCGTCTAGTACCTCGAAATATTTTTTAGGAGGCATCCAATACCTTGAAATTTTTTTTTGCCTTAGTGCTAAGAGTACCAAAAAATATTTTTGAATACTGGACGCATTTAGAAAAAAATATTTTGAGATGTTAGATGTATCAAAAAATACTTTTACACACCTTAAAAAATATTTCAAATTGCTAAACACAAAATATTTTACGGAACTAGATGTATCTTAACCCCAGTTTTTAAACATTTTTTGGGGTATAGACAAATTAAATGACGCGGAACAGGTTGAAGCCAGGGTATTATATTAAGATGTCTATCAAACTCGGACGCAGAAATTTCATTTCCAACAAATCACTCCGTGCAATAGTAACAGCTGTCGCTTGGTACAAAATCGGGTTGCCATCAAATCCCCACAGTAGATTCCGATGCCTATCGCTTTTTTCCGTTCTTGAATGATCATTTTCCCCCTTATTTTCTGCCATTTGTTTCCTCTTTCCCTTTTTTTTCTATATATATTGAACCTTCCCCATCTTCCGTCACTTGCTCTTCTCCTCTAATCCCTCGCCTCCTTCGTAGTTCCAAGTTTTTTCCTGTTCTTTCCCTTCCATGTCCCTCTAGAAGTTGGCCTTCCGCTGTTTGTTTTAATTCCCAGGAATCTCATCGTCTTCCCCTGCAAATCTTCTCTGATCCAAAGAAAGTATCTTCCATCAATCCATTGAATATCGCTGATCCTACACAATCTGGTTCTGTAATGTTTGATCACATTCATGTCTCCAGTCATTAGTGAAATCCTCCGCTCGGGGATTATCGTAAACTCCGCCCTTAGGCGCATGAGCCCCTTGGCTCAGTCTTTCTCTGTCGTCTTCCTCCATTGGTTCTATGTCTTTTCATGAATCGCTTGCCGCCCTTGCCATAATATTACTGCACTGAAGTATACATAACCATATTTTAAGCTTTTGGAGTTGTCTTTGTGCATATCTTTGTTTTGCAAGTTAAATATTGTCTCTCAGAATTTAGGAAGAAACATATAAAGCAAAATCATGATGATGGGCTCGCCAAGTGGGAATTCGTGCTTGTCCAACACCAGATTCCATCAGAGTTTAGGATCTGAAGAGGAGTTGTTGCAGCTTGAGATGTTGGAGAGGAAGAGGAAGAGGATGGAAGCGAATCGTGAATCGGCAAGGCGATCTCGGGTGCGAAAGCAGAAGCACATGGACGATATGGCGGCGCAACTGGTTGAGCTGCGAAAGGAAAACAGCGAGCTCGTCGCCAGCATAAACATGGCGATGCAGATGTATCAGAATGTGGAGGCTGAGAATAGCGTTCTGAGAGCCCAGATAGCTGAACTCACCCAAACCCTTCGATCTCTGAATCATATCATCGACCTCGTCAGCACAAGAACAAGAAGCACCAGCGAGGCATCGTTGAACTTCGTGAATCCCATGAATATGTTTTCGAGTCACAGTCAACCCATAATGGCTTGTGCAGCAGACATGTTTCCATGTTGAGAAATATGTGGGTTGATTAGAGTGTTGGTGGGGGTGGGGGTGTTTTGTTATGGGGAGGACCGGGGCTCTCATTTGTAATATCTTCTTTTCAGGTCCTTCGTTGTTTATTAGCTTAAGGTGAGAGATGAACGTTGCTGATCTAACTAGTGTGTTTGTATTTGTATATATATTGTGATCATGTGGCTTTTCTGTGTAAGCTTGTCTTCATTACCGTATCTTTTTAGCGTAATTCTTCGTGCCTCATCACGAAAAGAATATTACACTGCATATTATTAGATTGAGTTTTGACTTTTGACCTTTAAATGTGTGCGTATATAACTGATACACAAAAGAATCAAATGTAAAAAGTATATATTTATATATATTTATTTTGATATAATGCTTAAGCAAGCAATGAATGTATATGAATATGAAAACGTGGTATACGCATTTGAAAACACACTTCTAGATTACTCAAACAGAATAGTCTCAACGGCCCCCATGCTCCCTCCCCACAAGACATACACACGCCTCCCTTTAAAAACATAATGCTTTTAAAAAAAAAAAATTATTCGAAACTTCAATGTTATACACACAGACACACGTGTAGAGAGAGAGAGAAATCAGATTGAGAAAAGAATGCATGAATTAGTGGCATGTAGAAGGGAGACAGTGACGATTCTTTTCTGAGGCTTTCTTCATCTGTGAGAAGAATAAACTTTCATCCATAATATCACATGACCACAAACATGGAACACACTTTAACCTCACTTTTAGGGGAATAAATTAAATTTGCGATTAATTTTATCAATTAAATCTTTAAATCCTCACAGTTAACTCTTAGACACAAGCACTCCCAATTAATTAGCACACCTCTAGCTCAATATTCACGCTAAAAGTATAAGACTAGACATTAAAAAAAAAAAACCATCTAAATGTACTGATACATCAATTTGTCAAGCAGAAAAAAGATTACACTACATCAAAAGTGATCATATTTTCAACATTTACTGTTCGTTGTAAAATAGTACGACTTTCAGGTTAAATGTATGTTTTGTGTTAACTTGAAATTTTCTAGCCTACACACACACACACACATAGACATTTCAGAACTTTGGACGTTAAAGCTGAACAAGAGCAAGTTGTTTGTATATAATTTAGGCTTATGAATCGGTGACTCGTGCACAAGGTGCGGGAAATTAATTGAAATTTATCTATATATGATGTAAAGAATAAATGAAATTGCCTATAGTTCTAAATCTAAGATTTAGTTTGTAATGTGAATTGTATTAGAAAGTTGATCTACATTAAACCTCTGGCTCTTCACTAGTCGTCTTGAACAATTATTCAAGGAAGCACGCAGCCTGAGGAATGGGAAAATAACAAAATCAAAGGGTCAACTAATAACAGTGATGGACCTTCGAATGAAATCAATCAAATACGACTATTAATTAAATATTATAAATATAAAATCTTAATCCACTTTATTTTTTAAGTTTATAATATATTTTCAAAAATATTCTTGTTTATTGTAAGGTATTTTCACCCAAATGTAATGTAATTCTAATATACATGGTTGAATTAGAGTAATTTAAGGAAGTGGATACATATTTGTTATAAATAACTAACTTAACAATTTTTTTAATATATTCAAATTAGTTATCTTGCTTTTATATTAAGGATAGAAGGTAGTACTACCTTCCGTTCTAATTATAAGAGCTAGTTGACTAATTTGGGGAGATTAAGGAAATAAGTTAAGTTAGTTATTTGTAATAGATAAGTGTTGTCTTTTCTAAAATATCCTTGCTAATCAAGTGTATTGGCTAGAATTGCCCTTATTAGAAGGACTACCTTAGAAAAAAATATATAAATATGAGAGACAAAATGGATTGTGAATTTGTGATCTTATATTTAGGATCAAAATAAAAATCAAACTGGGTCTTATATTAAAGACCGAGGTAGTATTATGAAATTATGATTTGGACTTTTCTCCTTAATTAACGCGACAATCATTGGAACAACCTGCAAAACGTGATCGTCAATTTTTCAATTATTCACACGCATTATTGACACCGGCTTAACATTCCCTCTACAAAACGCGCAAGCATCACGAAAAGAAATCTAGAAATAAAGGTTGGCCTAAAAAAAAAAAAAAAGGTAATCTAGGAATAAACATGACGAGCGGGAAAAAAAGCATTTTAGAATAGCGGAAAAAATTCAAGTTTTATGTATCAATAATTAATGCATTATTTGCTGAGTAATTTTTCAATTTTCGGAGTCTTCTTTGGATCTGAATTTCTTATGCAAAACAAGAAAAAGCTCCAACTGTCCAAAACAGACAAAACATCGGGCCCCGCAGCTCCATTAGAGTCAGGTAAAATGGGCCGGCCCAGTTCGGGAGCATCAAGCTCCAGCGTAACTCCTCTAGTCTAGAAGGAGAAATAAGAAGTCAAGAGGCTGATGGGGCATTGCTTGATTCAACTCATTGAAAAGTTAATTTTTTGAAGGTTAATACATAAGTTTTTTTGCCAAAAAAATATACAAATTTTTTTATTGATTTTTTAAAGGTTACAATTATTTTTAAAATATTATTTTGTTATTTGAAATACAGAAAATATTAGGAAAACATAACTTATCCTGTTTTTGTTCGAAAAACTGTTTTTAAGTAAAGTGTGAGGCTTAACTTCTAAAGAAATTTAACCTTTAACGGAATTAGTACGACATGTTTTATATAATGTTTTAGAAAGTCTAACTTTCTCTCCCTACTTTGAAGTATTGATGCATAGTTTACTAATCAACTTGAAATATTGAAATTTAAATAATACTATCTCCGGTCTTTAATATAAGATCTTATTCAATTTTTATTTTGATCTTAAATATAAGATCCAAATCCATTTTGTTTATCATATTTATGTAATTTTTTTAAAGAGTCCTTCTAACAATGATAGTTCTAACCAATACAATTGTTTAGGAAGGATATTTTAGGAAAGACAATACTTATTTATTATAAATAATTAATTTAACTTTTTTTAATCTCTTTAAATTATTCAACTAACTCTTATAATTAGAATCAGAAGTATTAGTTGAATCGTGAGGTATGAAATTTAAAAGGCGAGGTAATTATTATATTTTTCTTTCAATCGACACTACTACACGTTGATCGAGATTCACTTCTTGGGATTCTGAGGTAGGTTTTCCTGAAAGAAATACTATGACTGTTTTAACCTCAAAAAACAAAAAAACCTATGATTGATGTTTCATGTTATAGCAACTTATTGTTGGATAGGCGATAGAAATAAGCGACGCTGAAGAGTGATGATGGGCGCTGGCAGGGAGATAAGCTATGAGCTAATCATGCGGCTCTACGTGGCGGAAAATATAGGAGCCATTTCTTTTTCTCGGCCGCCCCTTCTGTTCCTCACTTCCCTGTGCTTTATCGACTTGCGATATTACTATTTCGCTTTTTGTCGATAAATAAATAAAATCTCATAAGGAAAAAGAAAAAGAGACGAGGAAGGCTGGAAAACAACACCCGGAAGAAAAAGAGGAGGCAGACAAGCCGAGAGAAGCAGAGGAGGACGTCAAAAGGGCTACACCATTTCCATGGACTCTTCTTACACATGAACTTCTCTTGACGGAGTCATAACGCTAACGATTTCTGCTTCAGCGACCTTTAAACAGACTCCTCGTTATATAGCTGCCGCCACTTTCTGCGCCTGCTTGTTCCTTGGCGCTGCGCATGACCACTGAGAAGACGAACCTCAAATCGACGACTTCGCCGCCTTTTCTTCCTCAACGTATTGCTTTGAAATCTCATGATGTAAGATTGGCCCTGCCTTTCCGTTTATCAAGCATTTTCGATCTATTTCTAGTGCTTTTGTGATTTACTTCCTTGCCGAGAACTGGGCGCTGGAATTTTTTTGAAACCCTAGGCCTTCAAGTATTGTCTCCTGGTGGAATTGAGAGTCGATTTTCGCTGTTTCTGTTACGCAGACTTGGGATTTAGGTCATGGCATATAACTGGCATGCTTTCGTTGGGTTCTCTTTATCCTTGGAGTATTGGCTCTAGAGTTTAGACGTTTTCTGCTCTCAATAAATGTGTTTCCGTATTTATTTTCCTTTGGTGGCTCGAGTGCTGGCTGTTGATGCTGATTTCTCTTTTACACTCTACCCCCCTTTTTTTGCCCGTTCGTTTTTTCATCATTGGTGGTTGGTATTTTTGCTACTTGCAGGGGAGCATGTTTAATGGCCGTCATTATTCTGCCTTACTCTGTTGTACCTTTCTATTTTCTCTCCTCTTTTTTATATCTCGTGCGTTTTAGTCGGGTTGGGCGCGCTGTAAGTTCTTGTTTGTGATACGCTCTATACATGATACCCAGGGGACACAATTCCTGGTCATGGCCAATCTAATATTAAGGAGTGATGCCAGAACGGTTGTTCCATGTTTCTGGTCTTGCGTTTTCATTCACCTTCACATTCTGTTCATGATTGTACTTGTTTCTCTTGGACGCTCCCTCTAGTTAAAGACTTAAAGCTATGTCCAAGCCCCCGTTGGTTTTGAATTCTGCATGATTTCCATCTTACTAGACATAACAGAGAAACTTAGATGTTGCTGTCTACGGTATGAGGTGTGAGAAAGTTTAACATGAGCAGAGGACACTTAGATAACAAATAACGGAGTCTATAATTCTCCCGAGGAATTGTATGAATTTTCATGGAGAACATAGTCTTGGGCATATATTTTTATTTGTCATGATGTGCATATGTCTAAATGCTCCTTGCATATAGCTGTGAGTTTGCTTGCTTGGAAATTCTGCATCCCAAGTGACATGAATGTTATGCATTCACTGAACGAATGATATGTTTGCTTATAAATACTCCACCTGTCCTGATATATTGAAATTTATCAGTCAAACTAGTCCTGAACGAACTGAATAAAAGTTGATTCAAAATAATGGAGAGTGAAGACTTTAATTGTCAATGGAGATTCGGTGCAAATCAGAGTTTTTCCTTGTATTGTGATATAGGCCTTGTGTGCCTTGCATTTTACTTCAGGTTGTTAGTAGCTTCTGTAGGTAAACTTCGGTCTTCAGGTAGTGTCACATGTTATCATGAAATATAAAATATCAAATTGACCATCTCTATTTTATTCTCAGGAGGAAATAGTTCTGCAATTTGGTGGTGGAAAATTGAGGTGGCTTTCAGTTTTTTTTGGGTAAACGATCTGGTATATATTTACCTATATTTCTCCATTGAGTGCTGAACTAGTTTTTATTCCTGTCCGCAAGTGACTTATGTTGAATTTTGTCATGCCAGCTTTTATCATGGGATCAGCTTGTTGCGTAGCTGCAAAGGATCATACTCTTCCAAGCAGAACCGGGGTTGAAAGTTTGCACAGGAATGACGTTTATTCACCATCATGTAGTTTTCGATGGGATAGACGGGGACGTGTTGCTGGTGAAACTCAAAATCATTTGTACCACTCATCTGGTGGAGTCAGCAGAAACATTAGCATGGAGTTAAAAGGGTCATTAAGTTCTGAAAGAGGCAATTTATCTGACGGGGGAAGCACAGTGGAGAATTCTGTTACTCCTATTTCTCAGAAGTCTCCAATCCATGAGACGTTGGCTGCTAACCCAATGACCCCATCTTCAGGTAAATGTTTGTGTTATCTTTTCTTTTTACTTGCATAAGCCCATTGTACGATGCACACATATAGGTGGCCCTTGTTTTTGATGACTTCATTATACAGAAAACTCAATAATTGGATGCTGTCTCCTTTCTGTGGACTTCTCAAGTGGAGCAAGCTTCCATGACACTAAAGGGTGTCTCAGTTGTTAACATTACATTGTAGTATAATGACGGGATCTAAAAACTGAATATCATATAGCTTTATTATCTTTTGAGCCGGTATAAATTCCATATATTCCCGTTAGGAAGCAGCTTCTGCTTTTTCCCCCTCAACTGTGGTGTATCTAACCCACATTTCCTTGTCGGTTTATTGGAAGATGTATGTCTCATCATTTGTGTCATCTCATTTCTGGAGACACATTTACAACCATGATGTTTTATAAGAGCCCTATATATTGAAAAGTAGACTCTAGATCTGGACAAGTTATCTTCACAATTATCAGTTGGCTTCAAAATACCTATATTTTTTTGTTGGTTCATTTGAAGATTAAAGCCTCATCATTTGTCTTATCTCATTTCTGGAGTTACATTTACAACCATAATGTTTAATAGAGTCCTATATGTTGAAAAGTAGACTTTAAATCTGGATTATCAGTCTTAATGCCTGTTGGTTCACTTGCTTAAGGTTTCCTTTTTTCATCTGAGGGAGTCTATATTGTATGGGTATTTTTGTTTTAGCCCTTCTGGCTGAAGCCTACTGTGGGGCTGTTCCTATTGTACTCGACCTTAGCATTATACTTTTTACTATAGCCTTTAGATATGCTTTTTCTTTTTCGCCCTTTGAATGATCAGGGGGCAGGAAAGTTAGTCTAAGAGTGTCTAGGTCATCATTAGGCCCCTTAGGTTAGGACTCTCTCCCATGGATGTATGGTCACAGGGGAAGACAGGGGACTGCAGAATTTGACAATCCAGCTAACAGTCTTAAAAGTCGTTTTGGTCGAGCAATCTGCTTTCTAGATGCTGCTTCATGCTTTAGCTTTATGTGTAGGATTTTCTGTTGATTAAAAGGATATTTTTATTTCACAGGAATCTCCTTGCAATGCATTTCAAATATATACTGCTTTGATCTCACTTTTCTAATACTGTTCCTCATCTAGGAAAAAGGTTTATCAATTGATTTATCACTTAATTGTTTGATTGGTGTGGGACCTCTCTCGTCATTTGATTAATTCAGGCATTGATTTTTCATTTTTCTTCCCGTATTTATTGCAGATCTGTCCGTGGCTAGCAATTATTCTACAGTGGTGAGCTTTTTAATCCGCTGAATTTGATCTGTGAGCTTAGCATTTATAATTGGTTTTTTGGAGCCTCTTCCCATTGTACCGTGCTTACTCTGAAATTCCATATTTTATCTTTAGGTAAAGAACCTGGCATCATCTGAAGTCGCAGAATCTTCTGTACTAAATCTTCCATTTTCAATACCTTCGGGTTTCTCAACACCTACAACAGATCCTTTGCCTAATCATAATTATCATCATCTTCCCAATTCTACGCCATCAAGATGGACTCGTCAATCTCCAGGACACCCATTGTTGAGACAGATTTCTGATAGTAGGATCCTAGGATTGAAATCACCGGACAACTCAATTTCTGAGGGGAGGCCATCATTTGTGTTCTCTACTTGCAGCAATGACATAGCTGGATCCCAATGTGGATCGTCTGATGGCTGGTCCATGCGGACCTTTTCTGAGCTTGTGGCCTCATCTCAGAGGGAAAGGTGGTCCTTTGATAGTGAGTACTTTGGTTCGGGTCGTCACAAGATAAGTGGATCCAGTAGTAGGTTCTCATATTCTCCCTCAATGGATCTACAATCTTGCGGGGCTTGCTCAAAGCTATTGTCCGAGAGATCTGCGTGGAGCAACCAGAAATTGATTGCAAGCAACGACCTCTCAGCTGTTGCTGTTCTGGTCTGTGGTCATGTATATCATGCCGAGTGCTTAGAGACTATGACAGCAGAGGCAGATAGATATGATCCAACTTGTCCTGTATGTACGGTTGGGGAGAAACACATGTCAAAGTTTTCGAGGAAAATTCTTCGTGCTGAATCAGAGATGAAGGCTAAAAACTGCAGGATATCAAAGAACCGGGTGGTTGATAGCTATCTTGATGGTGGTTGTGATGTTTTCGATAGGCGAAAAGACGTTGAATGGGGAGGGGAGGTTCCGAAGATGGAGCCTAACTCCAGTGGACGGACCTCGCTGGGGAAGCCATTCTTGAGGCGTCACTTTTCACTTGGCTCCAAGTGGACCCGATCACTGTCGGAGAATGATTCTGTCAGGAAGAAGGGCTTTTGGGCAAGATATCGCAGGGATTGAATTTCACTCTCTCAGTAATTATAGTAGAAACACCAGCAATTTAGAATGAATTAATATTTTCTATGTCGCCTGGCTTTGCCAATAATTTTAGATTGTTTTAAGCTAATTTTGATTGTACATCAGAAAACCTTGCCTAGTTGAATTTAGATTGTTACGGAGGGCCCTGCGGGACACTTACGACATGCTTGGAAACATGTCAAAATCAGTTTTGTGCAAGGGCTGCTTCTGTTGACGTGATTGTTTCGGCATAAGAGTGGTCAAAACCAGGTGAGACGTTTTCAAATACATCCTGAGCAGACGAGAGGGGGCGGGGCAAACTGCAGCAATATTCCTTTTTGAACGAAGGCGCATTATACTTTGCCTGCTTGTTCATCGGTGGATACGGAGCCAGGCCACTGCGCATTGCAAAACTAAGCAAACGCTAATATTTTCCCTCCTATATTATAGTCAGCTACATGAACAATCATATTAGTATTAATGACTTCCAAAGCTTAGAGATATTGCTCGGTCTTATTTGCTATCTTTCCATCGTATGACATTCAACTCTGATTGATCCCCCGGGGGGGGGGGTGGGAGGAAAAAGAAATTTGGCTAGCAATTACCCCTCAGGCGAATATTAATTCACATCAAGATTGTACGTAAGGGTATCCATCTTGTCCAGTACGCTTTGCAATCCTGTTGCATAATCAGGATAAAGCAGCCGCACTCCCAGCTGCTCCTTCATTCGAGCATTAGACACTCGCTTCTCACCCCTCACGTCTCTTGATTTTTTTACATTTGACCACTCTATCTCCTCGGCTGCCTGTGTGATCAGACCCGGCCACATTTTCTCCACCAATTTTCTTGCATATTCAAATACTTGTTCCCGGGGAGCTGGATCATCATCAACAATGTTGTACACGTCGCTGAAAATGAGATGCCCAACGTTTTAATCCACAAGTTCTGATATGTTTCACAATCATCTAAACAAAATTGTACAAAGCAACGTAGAATTGCAAATAGAAACTTACCCAGGGGAAAGTGCCTTAGCTGCAGCCATAATCGCCTGGCAAATGTCCTCAACGTGAACTCTTGATGTATATTTTCGGTATTTCCTCCTCTTCTGAGACTCAGACAATGGGTCCTGCTTGACTATTGTCTCGATGGCACTATAACATGACAATTGTTTTAGTTTGAAAGACAAAAATATCTTAAAAGAAAAATAATAAAGGAGAGAATTACAAACAGGTTCTAAAGAAGGGAAACTAATTATTTCTTCAATCCCATTAACATGCCAAACTTCTGTACCTGCATGTCAAGTTTCTATATTTCCATGTAGCAGAGACCCACGAGTAATTAATTTTTTTCTCTTTTTCATTTGCGACATATTTGTAATCCTCCCAAAAATAAATGGGCAGTATAATTGTATGATCTACTATGTTTAACTCAATCTCTATATATACAAGTCACTTTTAAAAACTTCACACAGATTAAAAAACTTATTATAACTTTCTATAATTATCCTTCTTAAATTGTAGCCTCATCTTAACGACATCTTTCTTACACTCTGTTCACGATGACTTTTTGATTATTTAGCGCGGGGCAAGTAGGGAAAAAAAATCTAATGTTATCTTGATTTGATGGAGTGGCTTTTATTTTGAATATTTAAAATCTCCTAGAATGTGATTTACATGCCGGGAAGTTGGGAGTAATAATAAACCATCCAACAGTGAGCAAGAGCTCGGATTTTAAATTCCCAATGATGCTTGGGGATGGTGATCTGTGGTTAATTTTGGTATAATTTGTAACTATGCATGAAGGATAAATCTAAATATAAAGACCAATTACCTTCTACCAGGGCCATAGATACCTCCAAGCCGAAATATATACGGTGAAATGCCAAGATAGTGAGCCAAATCCGACCAGCCTTCTTCAGAGGCTAACCTTAACTTAGCCGACTCACTGGTCGGGTTAGGTGGATAGCTGCCAGAAGAGGATGGATACACTTAGGGCCAACAAATAGAGCAGTTTCAGAAACTTGAAAGCACAAAGTGATTTTTTCAAGTTGCACTCTCTTACTCTTCATCCACCAAGTCTCCGCCACAGTCACCATAGACGCCTGCTAAACAAGATTACTGCATTAGATCAATCTCACAACTCAAATTTATGACTGTTGAGATATTAAAAACAAGTGTAACCAACTTTTGGGGATTTTTATTCTTTTAGATATGCAAATACCCGTGGTTATTTCATCAACATATCAGAAGACTTGTCCCCTACCAATTTCCCTTCAGGATCATATTATGTAACCATCCGATCTGAATTAAGCACTGTTGTAAGATTATAGAACTAGCTAGGACGGTAGGATCACAGTTAATGCCAGCAAGAAGGATCATAGCATAAATCAAGCCAGAACAGAAGGCCTGTTCAAAAATTTGTTGTCAAGGTTACTTGCTGAGAGCAACATGAGTATTTCTAAGTGATTTATTTTAATGCAGATTTCAAACCACAGATCCACCTTATCGCCATAAACGGTTTTCTTTATTGAAGGGAAAAGGAAATGCATAGGGTTTCATTACTGAGCACGATAATGATCCATAACATTATGTAATTTATGTGCATGAAGAAACAGAAATGATTAGACAATTTAGCGAATTCAACGAAGTTGAAATTGAAGACATACTGGTAGAAGACAAGTAACAGAGCCACCGGATATTTCCGTTAACTAATGAACTTCTTAAAAGCGGTTCATGTTGAAGCATCTGCAAATCAGTGTAATAAAAGTAAAACAAAGGCTTTGAAGGAGACAATGCCCAAATAGAAAACCAGTTCGGAACTCTGGGAAAAAAAAAAGGAAGATATTAATAGCATACTGGATCACCGATACCAATGATGGGAGGGATGGAAACAAGAAGGTGAGTGTAATATTTCATCTGATCTAGGATGCCAAGTCTGCAAGAAACAAATGAAATATTCTCAGCATATTTAAGGGAGAAAAAAAAAAAGATAAGAAAGAAAAAGAGAGACACCGTTTTTGAAGGGGGCAAAATGGACAAAGAAATTCAGTCACCGTATCTTATGTGCCTTTCAATTAGAATACCTCCGTATTAATTACACGACAGCAGTAATGGACAAAAAATAGGCCCCAAATAAACTCCAAATCTCACACAATAAATAAATAAAATTAAGATCAACGCAAAAGATTAAAACAAGGCAAATAATAGCTTACAGACAATGAAACAAACTCTGAAGGCATCACAGAAGAACATATAGTTACATGCTTATTGACTCACTCTGGCTCGAGTGCATCCAAATGGTACATGTGAAATCCCCTGTCCTCAAGCTTCTCCTTCTTCATAAGACTAGTGCAAGTTCCTGACACAATCCTATACAAGATATGTCTGATAAGCTAATGAGTTTTCAAGAGCAATCATTCGTCGACGTGGGAAAAAATGTAAACAAAATAACAAAGGTGTATATTGGCAACGAAAGATTTAGGATAAGTATACAGATGGAATTGGCACGAAATGGGCAAAGAATCACCATCCTTGGTTCTGGAGCTTGTATGAAAGCAATTGCCCAACAAAACCCATTCCTAGAATAAACATCCGCTTTCCAGATTGCGGTTCCGACAAACTGCTGTGGGTCGCTATTGTGGAGGAAGCCGGCGACGTTCGGGCCATCGACAAACAGGAAATTTTCGGAACACGTCCATGTCTATATCGGAGACGGGGAGAAATCGCTAAACCTGCTATCCGATCCACTTCCATGCTAATTCGGATTTGGGGTTACCCACCGATTCCAGATGTTAGCACAAGAACCAGTTTCAAGGTTCAACTTCCAACTTCAGCAATGAAAGCAGCACATACGAACACGGCGTTGCTGGATAAGTTAATTAATTATAAAAAATATAATATATTTTTTTTAAATATTATAATTATTTTTTAAATGTTTTTTTTAATATCATCACTCTTTTTTTAAACTTAATTATTAATTATAATTGAGGGAAAAATTAACAAATATAAAAAATAAGTTTTATATTTAAGATTAAGATTAACTTAATAATTAAATTTTAAAAAATACTTATTTTTAATTTTCTTCTGAAGTTAAATATGTACTAATATTTAATCTCAGCGTTTTCTAAAGTTAAACATGTACTAATATTTTATCTCAACGTTGACATTTGAACCTCTCCCTCCACGAGTTAAACCAGTATAGAATATACTTACTAATACTTCACACTGCCCTTTATTGTATAACACATTATTTAAATTTCGTGCACTGCCATAAATATACAAATGTTTATTATAATTTAATCTTTCAACCGTAAGAAGTTCTGTAAATTGTTGATTCGCCTGCTCCAGTCCCTTGCTCAGGTTCGAGTTCATTTTTACATTTAGTTTGGCGGATCATTCTGAGTGTTCCGCGTCCTTAAAGCTAACTTCTGAGATAATGCTATTATGATAATCCCTGATGAAAGTACCTCAAGTTTCAAACGAGACAAGAACCCTCCGAAGCATCAACCTACGTAATAAATCAAAGGGAAAACCATATTGGAGGTACCTATACTTTCTCTCAATTTTCAATTTGATACCTATGTGTTTTTTGTTCTTAACTAAATCTTTAATTTTGTTCTATTAATATCATTAATTCTTATGTAGAGACTAAAAATATCAATAGAATAAAGTTATAAGAGCTAATGTTACTAAAAAGATAAAATTAAATGTTTAATTAAAAAGAAAAAAAATACATAGATACCAAATTAAAAATTGAGAGAAAGTATAGGTACCTTCAATATGGTTTTCTCTAAATCAAAATCAGTGTCAAGCCGAGCCAATTTCTTCTTCATTACGACTCCTCTCTCATTTTACTGTTATATGAACAGTATCAACTTAATGAACAGTGACGACTCTATTTTTGTGGCTTCATCACTAGGGGGCACATTTGGCAGATTTGAATTTCAAAATTTGAAATTCCCTCCATCCTCATTATTCATTATCCTTTCTTCGGTTCTTCTTACATTATCACTACGGCACACATTCGAGCTTCCCCCATTGCTCATTCACTAAATTTTTCCTTACTGATGTGAGGCAAATCTTCTTTTTCAAATGGGTTTGCATTCTCATTTTTAAACGGAAGCTTTCTCCTCTCCCTAGATTGTAAATGCCCCATTTTCAAGAGCCGTCGATGCTGCTTCCATCAATACGTTTTCAGGTTCATTTGATAATTCTTTCTTTCTTTTTATTCTTCATCTTTTTCTGCTTATATCATCTTCTTTTCCTTACTGAAGCTTCACCATTCTGCAATAAGCATGTCGAACTCAACTTTCATTATGTTGCGGCTGGAAATCATTCCTCTATTGTTGCTGCGCTTTACTGCCATTTCTGCTCATAGGGTATTTTGCATCAAAACCTTCTCCCTCTCTTCTTCATTGTCGGCAAGAGGTAGGATTGGTCTAGCTACTGCCCTGCGTAGCTGCCGCCACCACCAATTAGTTAGAAAGGTCATCCTTCTCCTTCTTTTCCATCAATGCATTTCTTCCACAGGAATGATACTATTTGTTTTATTATAACTACCATTTAGTCAGTAGGGATGGTTGCTGAATAACAATCCTGGTTTGAAGCATACGAGGATGATTTGCCAATTTTTTTGAGAATAAAGAGGCTCAGTATATGGAGAGGGGACTGAAAAAGGAAAGAGGATTTTTATTCAAACTACTTTAGAGGGAGGTGAGGACTTAGTTTGTGTAGTTCTATGAATTCCTTGAATGTATAGGTCTTTATTTTTACTCTTCTCTTTTTCCTGGTTTAATCATACTCAACCATGAAGAGGAAGAATGTGCGCAAGAAGAAGCTGACAATAATAATTTTCTCATCTTTGGGTGCAATTTGCATGCTATTATTACTAGGCATTTGTTGTATCTACCAAGTCCAGAGGAAGAGGAAGATGATTGGCAAATTTCTTAATCACATTATTTTTTTGTTTTTGTTTCCTTGCACAAATTTGGCTGTTGTTGACTAATATAATGGTATGTACAGTAATGTGTCAAGCCACTAAATTTGAAGATGAATAAAAAAAAAAAAACTAAGGCTATGTGGAGGCAGTTCTAAGACGAGACAGGTCCTTGTCTAAAGCTCTCTCTTAACAGGTGAGAGGAGATGGTGCTTCAGCCATCCCCAATGAGCCTGTGAGGATTTGACTGATGATGTAGAAAATTAAAGAAACCAAGGTTTCACTGTTATGTTTTTCTGTTTCCCCTTAATTATTCTTTTTTTTTTTTTTTTTTTTTTAATATTTATGCTTAATGATTAGAATGATATTAAAAAAAAAAATCCTAGGTTTTTAAATTTGTGTTTATAGAATACATTCAGTGTAGCTCATTTTTTAATTGAGATCCAACCTTTGGGATAGTAGTTCAATTTGTTTATAGTATTTCACATGAAACCTTCCATCTCTTATTGCAGCACGACGAGGTAATGTCTTTGATTCTTTCTTAATATATTTTGTAGGAAAATATTGTCAATCAATTATTTTGGCCCTTCAAATGTCTTCTTAGACCATGACTATATAAATAATTTTCGATCAGTAGATTTTCTTGATGCTATTATCTTGAGCACTTTTAAAGATTGGCTTCAAAAGAAACATTATGAATGGAAAAGAAAAGGTAAGCCTCTCAGAATTCTTATTGCTTTGTTAGATATCTATGGATTATTTCTCCCCATCTCTAGTTGTAAATTTCAACTGAAGTAGGAAAGAGTGCAGGCTATAAAAGGAAATTAAGACGCGCGGTATGATATGGTGTTCCATTCTTCTTCTTCTTGGTTTTTTTTTGTAATTTGGTGAAAATTATATGAAGGATAAGGAGATGAGAAAACCTCTTCTAGATGGGGAATGTGAATGGGGTTCACCAATGTCTTTAGATGACGTAACATATGGGAAGCCTGAATGGATGCCCGTTACAGAAGAAACGCCACAAGCGGATAAAAGTAACAGTGATGTATTTTACTTTTTCATTTTCCATGGAGGGTGGTTGAAAAGTCTGAGTTTTAATGTTTTGATTATGTCGTTCAGTGATGCCCATGGGGACAGTGTTGACACTGGTGTTCTTCTATATCTTTGTTTTTGGGCCAAAGGTGTGCTTCTGAATCTCACTTCCCAATAAGTCCATACGAAAATGCCAAAAAGATTGCCAAAGACATCATCCTTGATTTTTCAGAAAATTCAGATATGATGTAATGATCTTATACTGTTTTATCTCCGAGTTAATCCCACACGTGACGGTTTGAATGTTGTTTTTTGAATGGATGAGACCAATGAGTAAGCTAAGCTTGCTTATTTGCCACGAATTGAACCATACTCGTGGAGAGTTGATGATACACAATCCAAGAAGTTCTGAAATTCTCTTGCATGTTATTATCATGATTGACAAGTAACTCCTTTTGCTGCAAAGTGATGCCAATCAAAACAAAACCAAATACCCTTTGGAAACTCAATGAACATTACTTGCACGATAGTTAATGTCACACTTGCTATTCAGTATGCTTGACCTTCCAAAATTTCTTAATTTTATTGCTTGATGTATCCAATGGTAACAATGAAAGAATCAACCACTCCTATGTATCTCAGTGTTGTCATTCAAATAAAAGCAAGATGAGTGTGGATATTATTTGCCAATTAATTTCAAGACGGTTTATTTATTTTTATTCGGTTATTTTTTTTTCCCTCTCATGTGGTTATTGACCTTCACTAATCCTATATGCATTGTTATGATGATATTACTGGAACAAGTATTATAGTTTATCCTGTTATGTGATCCGCCATATTGGTTACCAAAATATCTGGTAATAATAAAAGATAGTGATTAAAGCCATGTGTACACGAAGGAGTGAGAAGACGATTCAATTCTTTTAATTATGAAAAAGCAAAGCATGGCCATCTATCTATATCTCTTTGGGGCTAGCAGGGCCGGAAGGATTTACCCGTTGGTTTTGGATATTACATGCTGTGGGAAATTATTATTTCAGCATGTGCCACTTCTGTAATAGTAGGTAGTGCAGGGTTTTCTTGAGGGGTTCATGGAATGATGGAAATGGGATTTCGGCCACATACCTATTTATTTCAATGTGCTCTTTGGGCAAAGACCTCACTCGCGATTTTGTTTTGCGGCTTTTTGTGCTTTCTTCTCTATCTCCTCATGCTGTAATTGTTAAATCTTGGATTTATTAATTATTATATTTATATTGAAGCTACTATCCACTTCCCCATATGGTGTTCCTACAGAGGAGAGATGATGACTATAGAATTGTGACAGATATCCCTTAAATTCTTGGATTAAATTTGGCCTATCAGGATCTATTGAGTATTTGTAATCTTTACAGGATCTGCATATGTCCTAAGTCTGATCTGTCATTTGCTTCTGATCAAGTTTCTAAGGCAAGCATTTTGGTCTTCTAGGAACATAGGTTTCAAAAACGAAAACTAACCGGTCCCTTCTTTAAGGCACATACAAATGAAAAGAAATTGCTCAAGATTTCTTCATTGTTTTACTCATCTTGGTATCAAATTTGTAATTACAGTTATAACATTGAGCAGATCAAATGCAAATCAAAAGCATCTAATGTCTCGAATGTACGTGAATCCTTCTAATAATAGTCATTTGCCTTTCTGTATGAAAAAGAAGAGTTTTCAATTAATTACTCTTTCATTTGCAATTACCATTAATAAAAATTAAGAGCAATTGTTACGCCATATGGGTTTATATCTATTGAAGTCAGCAATTATACTTGGCCAATTATATGACGTTCTTTTATGGGTGAAAAGTATTGAATGATTGAAGATTTTTTTTTGCATGATAGGGACAACAAAGGCCAAGAACTACCAATATTGATAAACAAAGGTGTTTCGAAATTTTCATACAACAAATTGAATAATTATTTGATATTTGATGGAAACATTATAGTTATTGTGATATGATAAAATTGGCTTTTAGAAAATCTATTTGATCACTTATGATTCAGGTAAAATAGAAAGTAGAAGTACAAGGTTATTAAGATTGTGAGTTGAGATTTATTTATAGGAAGGTAATTTTAGTAGCATTTTTTGTGCATGGATTGCAATGATATTGTGTTGATAATTTGGAGTTGTGAAGATTATAATGAATTGAGACTATTACTCCCTCTGGATGTATATATAAACTTCAAATAATCAAATCGCATTCAACAAACTAACAATTAAAATTCGTTAAAAGTAATAAATGAGTCAGAAATGTATTTTTTTTTTAAATTTACCCTTATTTATTAAGAGAGTAAATAAAAAAAAATGATGAAAGAAAATATATGGGGGCAATATTAATGAGAGGGAGGGAGTATGCAAAATAGGAAAAAAAGTAATAAACATTCAGACAAACTCAAAAATAAAGCTTATATTTTGGATCAGATTTTTTTCTAAAAATAAAACTTATGTATAAGACTAGAGAGAGTAATTGATTCCATTGAAATCAATTCTTCCTGTGCATCACGCGGGGAGTCATTACTAGTTAGGAAAGTAACCACGGGTTTGTTTGGCAGGGTTTTTGTGGGCTCAAAAGCAGCTTATTTCACTTACAAGCCTGATTGGAAAATAGATAGGTGTTTGGCTGGGCTTAAATAAAAAAAATAGCTTATGTTTTTTAAGCTGGAAAACGTACATTCAGGCTCAAGCTCCATTTTGTAACTTATTGGATCACTTTAAGAGTTTATACGTTCTTTCTTTTTTACTATCTTCCATAATTCACAACCATTGGTAGTAATTTTTTTATTTTTCTTATATTTTCAATTTTAATTTACTTATTAAATTTACTTTTTTACATTAAATTAAATTAAATTAATTGTATTGTTTCAATTCTTTTTTTTTTTTATCATATTTCACTTTATATTTAAAATACTTTTTATGATTTTTCTAAAGTTTTAAAATTTAATTCACTTAGTAAATTTGACTTCTTCACATTAAATTATTTTAATTCTATTGCATTATGTGAAATCATTTTTTAATTATGTTTTATTATTTATTAAAACTCATACTTATTTTGGTCATTTTACAACCAAACTTACTTTTACTTAACCATAATCCAAACAACTTTTTACTAATCTTACTTTTACAAACTAGTTTTTCTGAACTCCAATCCAAACACAATTTAGTTTATCTAATTTAGTTTTTACCCAAATTACTTCTCCATAAGCTACTTTTTTAATTGCTGATCCAAACGGACCCCATATCACAGAGTGCCTTATGAAGAGAAAAGAGTGAGATGTAGGGGAGGATGCAGGATTGAGTTATTTTTTTCCCGGGGGGATTTTGAGGAAGGGATAAAATATCATGCATATAAGTAAACTATTTCACTTTAAAAATACACAAATATTACTATATGTAAAGAAAATTGGTCTAAAAACATACATAATATTTTTTACATATTATTAAAAACATGCCTAATATTTTTTCCTATAAGTCATTCTAAAAATGTTATAAAGCTGTAACGGTATTAATTTTTACATTAAGAAAGAACATATATGACTTTTAATGTCTACAAGAAAAATTTGTATTTTATATTAATAAATCTAAAATATTAATGAAGTGAAAAATAGATAGCTGGGGGTAAGAATTAGGTCTACGTTTGATTTGTACTAAACTTCCTCTTTAATAGACGTCTCATTTTCTTTTTCTTTTTTTTTTTCTTTTTAAGTGAATGCTGCTGTCCTGTGAATATATGTCATCCTCCTGTAGTTTAATTTGTTCCTTTCGTCAGATACAGACTTGATTTCTTTTCAAAAAACAACTTTAACTGCGAGAAGCAAGCTCTCATTTTGCAAAAACATAAAAAAAGTTTCGAAATTGATGCCACTCGTAGTTCTCAATTTTGTCTGCCTCACACTGTGAACACTCTTGAATTGAATTCGTGTATACGGTAAATAATGAAGACTACACTCGTTTTGGGGATCTTTATAAATAGCGCCAAATACCAGCTTTGATTAGGGGATAAACGTTGTAAGAGAGATTCAATTCAATAACTAAACGAAGCGATTTAGAATATCTCTTTCATTAGATGATCATGGGAGATTTTTATACTGTAATAAAATTTGAAACAACACAACAATGAAATCATCACTTCAAAATACTTGCTGGCCGGAGCTGTTGATAACAAAACAGAGCACTATTCGGTGATTGGGACAATAATGATGGAAAAGGAATTAGAGTTTCAGAGAATAAGCTTCTCAGATTCTCTATTACTGGACTGGGGATCCTCGCGGAAGATAGCTCTGACAAGATCAACATAAAGGGGGAATTGGGAGACGGCATAGAAAGCAGCGGGCAAGACGGTGGCGGCGTAGAGCAGGAAAACAACCTGCTTCTCCTTGAGCACAAAGAAGAATGCGGCGGAGAAAGAAACCAACACGGAAGCGATGGAGACGAAGAGCGAACTCAACCCCAAAAAAAGTTTTAGAGGCAAATCTTTGCGGAAATCTCTAGGCTGATGGCGGGAGGTGAGGATGGCGAGGAACATAATGAGACCGGTGATGGAGCAGCAGAGAGACAAGAGGGAGGTGAGCGCAAACATGTTGAAAGCCGGGTGGTTTTCCAATGTAGGCATGCCCGTCTGCTCCTGAGTGCCGCCGGGGACGTTCGTAGACGTGGCAAAGGCCACGCCGGCAATAAGTGCGGCCACCACAGAGCACGACTGTGACGTGTGGTTGAGCCAATCAGTGCCTTCTTTGATTAGATTCTCATGATCTTCTCTGAAAATTTCCACCGGTGTCTTATGGCCTTTGTTCGGGAGGAATGACACATAATTGGGCATTATATCCTTGACATACTGCAAAAAAAGCCGGAGATTATATGCAACTGAGATTAAACTATATGTTCGATTTGATTGAGGTTGAAGTTGAAGAGGAATGGGTATTAGTTAATGATACCAGAAACCATTTGATTTCCCACTGCATTTGCAAGGCAGATCCAGGGATGTGCCAGGGCTTGTACTGGGAGAGCCTGGCGGCCAAGTGGAGGATAGTGTTTCCTTCATCGTCTATGCTTTGAACGAGGTTATTCCACAACTTCTGCTGCTCGAGAAGCTTCAAAACATGGGGTTGCCTGTACTCGACTGCTATATGCAACACATTTTGGCCTTTCGAGTTGGTTTCATGGATGGCCCCTGGTTTATCCTTAAGAATTTTCTCCAGTATTTCCAAAACTCCATTTTTCGCTGCAATAAATAATGCCGACTCCTTTCTGTCCCCTTCTTCCTTCTTCTCTCCGTCGCCTGCAGATAAATCCAATGAATATGGTGCAGTGGAATCTGAGTAAGGAAATAGAGGATATGCCACTAACCGAGGCACATGCAGCATCCGATTAAAGCCTTGCTTTCAGATCCACTAGTTTTGCCTTTCCACAAGCTTGTAAGGAGTTCTCGCAATTCTTGAGAGTTTTGAAACGTTAATTTAGACAACAAGAGAACAAAATTGAGAGCTAAGGAATACTGTTAGTTTACATGTTGTGATTAAAGACTTCTAAGTTTCAAAATTCAATGACTTGATATAATTAATGTTAGAAGTTACCTTTTAATTTGTTTTCATCCACATCAACAATTTTAGTCTCCTCATTCTTTTTACCTGCAATTCATATGGTAGAGATTAGATTTCAAATCGTTTTAAAACTTAGAATATAAATCAGATTAAGCACAACAAGAATAACACGACGACTCGAACTTCGGGTTTTATATTGATTTTGGCCTGCAATTAATTATATTACATAGTTTTTGCAGAGAAATTAGAAAATTTCGATTACATTTCTGATTCTGATTGCTATCATCATTTGGTCTCATCGTTTGTCCTGCAACTGCAATTATTAAATTATAAATTGGTGGCACTCTATTTAGAAATTTCGGCCACGTCTTGTCATCCATAATCTATAGTTATATAATCAATATTAGAGAGCTACCTTTTAATTTTTTTCCACCCTCATCAACAATTTCAGTCTCCTCGTTCTTTTTATCTGCAATTCATATAGTTGAGACTAGATTTCAGATCATTTTAAAAATTAGAATATAAATCAGATTAAGCACAATAAGAGTAATATGACGACCCAAACTTCGGGTTCTATATTAATTTTGGCCTGCAATTAATTACATAGTTTTTGCAGAGAAATTAGAAAATTTCAATTAAAAGTGAAAAACCTTGTTTGTCAACGATCTGACCACTGGGTCTGGGAAATGATGATTCTCCTTCGGTAGTTCCATGACGTAAGGAATAGCTTTGGAGGGCACTTCCACCTCCAACGTATACTAAATCCTTATTCTCCCAAAGTCGATCCAGTATTTGGCGACACCAGATGTGCTTTTGTTTCTTTTTCTCCAAATCCTTTAGTTTCCAAAATCCTTTATATAAACAAAACCACATGTACCGTCAGCAAAGAATTAAAACCATGATTCACAAATAATTATAAGGTTATGGTGCATCTAGCATCATAAAATATTTCGTGATGCATCCAGTATCTTAAAGTATTTTCTTCATGTGCGTCCAACACCTTAAATTATATTTTAGTGCATTTAATGTATTTTTTCAAGTGGATTTAATACTTCAAATTATTTTTTGATGTACACATTCAATACCCTAAATTGCTGTGTAAAATTGCACTAAAAATTATTTTAAGTTGTTAGATATACTAAAACAAATATTTTAAGATGTTGGATGTAACATTAAATAATTTAGAGTGTTGAATGCGCTAAAAAAAATATTTGAAGGTGTTAAATGCAACTTAACACATATTTATATCACATCAGCGTAAGTAAGCTAGCGCTTGTCAGTTACTAATATTATAATTAGGTAGCGATCGAGAGTGTATACCTAGGGTTTTAACGACAGGCCAGACAACAAAGGTGAATGCACGCGCGAAAATGTCAAAACATGTCCGGTAATTTGGCGGCACAGTTTCATATCCGTCGTAACTTGGGTTTTCTGCATCCGCTCCTGCGTACAACAAAACATGAACAACAGATCATAAGATACTTTAATTATAAAGGAACAATAGACTGCTCAATTACTGCATGCAACTATATATACTTTAAGACTAGACCAAGCAAACTAAAGATATACGAAGCATGTTTTCATTTATATTGAACTTGCCAGCCTGAGTTCTTTGTCTTTCAGATGATTTTATCCACAGCAATGGGTCATTACTTGGGCGTTGTTCGAGGCTCCTCAATGACTTCACGTATATGCCTTGCGCCACAAAAGGAAAATAAATAAATGTTTCAATTATCGATATATCTACCAGAAGATACCAAAGAATTACACTGTAATTTGTGTCATTAAAAATTCTACAATTGACATCCACGTAAAGGGGCTTATGTTCTTTATTTTGACCAAAAAAAGGGGGGGCTTATGTTCTTTGTTTCCTTTCCTTTTTGTTTTTTTTTTTGGGGGGTCCCCTTTCATGAATTAAGCTCTCTCTTCTCCGGTAAAGAACGAGGTAAAAGAAGGAAAAAACAGAGAAGAAAGAAATGTGGGGCCACTGGATCTCATGATTGTTGGCTGCAACTTCAGTTTTTTATCCCTGAACTAGCGATCGATATACTTACAGTTGTAGGCAAGCTTGTTGTACCATCTGAAATTGCTGCTGCTTTCAAAGGCGGAAGGTTTGTCAGCCAGGGTATGGAGAGGAGTAATTCCCTTTTCATCCACGGAGCCCACTATATGCGTTCCGTAAAGACGAATGATTTCAAATGCCAACTCTACATAAGAAGAATGCGAGCAGAAATGAGTTAAATGATTGATAAGAACAAGGGATGGAGATGAAATGAGTGAATAAGGGAGTAACCAACCAAAGTGGTCTCGGCGGATGGTGCAGTGAAGGATAGTCTCTCCATCGCTGGATCTTTTCCAGAGGCGCCTACTTGGGTCGGGGCAACGAGAGTGGAGGTAAAGGAAAGCTTCCTCTTCACCTTGAAGAGCGGCCAAGAAGAGGGGAGTCTCTCCTTCCTTGTTGCGAGCTTCAATCAGTTGGGTGTCCCTTTGAGCTTCGGCGATGCACTTGCACATCTGGAGGGACCCTCTTGATGCAGCACGGTGCAGTGGGGTGTCTCCTCGATCATTCTTTGTTTGCAGCGCCGACAACGACCCACTTCTCGTGATTTCCATTACTAGCTTCTCCACCATATCTCCTCTGTCGTCGTTCACCGCCACATGCAACAATGTGTCGCCGGAGCTGTTGATCGCTGCATCGTGAATAATACTCACTTTGTTTTTGTATATCGTCAAAGCTTCCTCCCAATCACCTTGAAGCGTGGAATGGTATAAACTGAGCTTCGTCATGCGAACATCCATATCAGAATCCATATGTTGCATTTTCCCCTGATGCGCGGACCAACTCAACGTAACTGTGTGTGTGTTGAGATGGTGCGAGTGGTTGGTGGTCACTTCGCTCCCAAAACTCGCTTTTTATACTGCTCAACTGGCAACTGCTCCCATGTGTTGTGTCTGTACAGTGCAGAGGAATCTCCTTTCATTATATTGTGGAAGGGCAATGTGCTATCTTTTTCTCTTTTCATTTTGTATCAATTAATACTTAATAATTATACATATATGTGCATGGAACACGTTGTTGGCCCTTTCGAACGTGATGAGCAACGATAACCTAGAAACAAATATCCTACGACGTTCAGATGGATCCTCTCCAGCCCTTTGAAAAATGTGGTGGCCTGGCATAGTAAAACGTAAACCCAAAAATATAGTACAGTACATAGTGTGTTAAGCATAGCCTGGAGAGGTGAACCAAGAGATAATCTGAGCACACCTGAATTTAGTGATTCTGTTTAAGTTGTTAATTGCTTGTATATAATCAAATGATACGTGTTGGAAAGTGTAAGCGCACCCATTCTAACAATAATGGCTGGATCCTGGCCATAATACTCTTCCTAAACAATTTGAAAAAGAAGTTTGAAATAATAATAATAAATTGACGCCACTTATATATAGTTCTCAACGTGCATTAAAACTTTAATTGCTGTGTTAAGATAAAAAAGAATGTGTTGAGTTGAATGCGTGTTGAGCTTAAAAGACCAAATGTTCCATCCGTACTAAATCCCGAGTGGGGTTTCATATGACTCTTTTTGGGACATGCAAATAGTTCGAATTGGCTTCTGATTCATACGTGTCGGCGAGGAGTATTCATTCTCAAGGGACCATTCTCATTTCTCACGTGAAATGCGCGTTCCGACAGCACTAGCTATTTTAATTTTTTAAAGCTCCCTACTCCCTGCTGATCCTTTTTAATTCTTTTCTCTACTTTTTTAATATAATAAATTATCCATGCTTAATTAATCTGGCGCCTCCCCATTTTGCCCTCTCAAATTAGCAATCTTCAAAATTACCAGATGTCCCCACTTTAGACAGAGTGGAAAAGCGCCATATGTACCCACGTGTTTCGGCCCATGAATACTACTTTTTCCTCCTCTTTCTTTTTCTCTTTATTTTAAAGTGCTTTGGTGATTTAATGAGGTTTAACCGTTATTTTATCACTTTATGAGCAACTAACTCTTTTTCTTAGACCAAATTTCTGTATATCACGACTAATATTTCTTAATTATCAGTCAACCCTCGCTTTAGAAAAATCAATGTATCTTTTGTTTCATTCAAGGAGGAAGGCTGGGACTCGGAAGGTATTGAATAAATAATAATGAAAAAATAGGCCTCCTATCTGATCTTTTCAACTTGTATCACTTTCTCACTTTTGGCATATGATGCGAGGCATATTTTTATAAGTTTTATCTTACGCTTCAATTTAGGCAAAAATATATAAACCATATCTCTAAACTTTTTCCAGAATCACTTCGGTTCAAATTATACTTTCGTGAGCTTTTACCTATTTATTTGTTTTATATCAAAGCCCTCTTGCTGTTTCTCCCATTAACACCTTTTGCGATATCACAATAATGAAACACACATGGCATATGATATGAAAACGAAATTTATTTAATTTTTTAACACAAGTAAGGAAAATGGCAGAAGTGTAATTTTAAGTAAAGAAAAAAGCATTATTTCAAGATAAGAGCGACGGACGGAACCATAATCTGATTTCTGATGCTCTCACTGTCCTCAGGCCTTCAGAAGGTCCCTGGCATTAGGGGGGCGGCTTAGGTAAAAACATTTATTTATTTTCAAAGACTTTTTTTTTTTTACATCTTATTTCATTTGGCAATTATATTATAAAGGTTTTATATTTAGGACCAGAGGAGTATTAAATTATTGATTTCCTTAAGCTGTTATATATTCTCAATTAATTTCACCTGGCAATTTCTCTTTGTAAGATATCAGAGAATTAACACGGAGGTCCATGTTTTTTTTTTTTTAAAGACTCAAGCAGATTAATTTTAAACTTTAATAGTGAAGTATATGATCCTAATAAACATATATTATCATTAATTAGTATTATACATCATCCTTCTATTATTTTAATCTTCAAATGAGTTCATATAACACATATCAGGCAATAATGCATGGATGGCAGAGAGATGGTAACTACCTCCTCTATTGGTTGAGTGAAGAAGCCTAAAGTAGTGATAAGAATTAAAGGCAAAGACAGTAATTATTATTATATATAGAGAGAAGGGGGTGGGGGTGAGTAACCTCGAATTCTCCAAATGATAAATACATAACGGACCCCCTTCTCTCCTCTTTAGATCCCTTCCCACTGTTCTTTTGCACTCTCATTACCACAATCATACACACAGGAAGATGCCCTCTTCATTTTCTCACACACACACATGCACGTACACCGAGTTATCTTCATTAGACCAATATTTATTTACCAATTATATATGTATTGCCAGAATCCAGCGAGTGACGAGGTTATGTACATCGACCAATTTTCCGCAACGTGTGGCATTAAGGATAGGCTACAATCACCAAAACATTCTTTTTTCTCGTTGAGTTTAATTTACAGTTTAAGTGATAAATATGAAAACTGATCAATTCTGTCTCTTGGCCTTCCGTAAAATTTCCTTCAAAACCAGAGCAATCCTATGGGCCATATGGTGCTCCATAAACATCTCCTTCACTCTATCGTAACCTTTCTTTCCCATAGTCAGCCTCCTCTCAACATGAGTTGCCAATTTTACAATGTTGTTTGCAAGAGGCATCACGCCTTCTTTTCCAGCGGGATGCAGCAAACCGGTTGTCCCGTTTACCACAATCTCCATCGTGCCCCCAGCCGCAGTACCCTGGCATTGTTTTCAATGAAGGCAAAAAATAATATATGACTTGATAAACCCGCACGAACAGAAATGCATATAATCCCAACATGCGGTGACAACGTAAAGAGTTAGCTAGGACTAGTATTCGTTTGTTTGGCCAACAGGTTAGCTAGTAATGGTTTCTACAGTAAGCAACCAAATATATGATAATCTGTAACAATATTATTCATAGAAATTATCAATAGCTGTGGAAAATAACGTAAAATTAAAACAGAAGGGTCTCATACCCTGCAATTAAGATGATTTGTTTATGGTAAATGTGCCAATGGGGACGCCGGAAGTGCAGGCATATCCGTTCTTCTTGAAGGATTTTTTTTTTTTTGGTTTGGGGGGGGGGGGGTCTCATGACCTTTGATTTTTAAAAGTGGAAGAAATATGGTACTATCTCTCTCCTGTCCTCTGTTCCTCCATTCAATTCTATATTAAGCTCTAATAAGGAAGAGCCCGTCCAACATTATATTTTGGAAACACTTTTCTAACCAAGAAAAACCCGTTTTCTTCTCCTGACTTCCCCATTTCCAGTTTACTTCCTGGTTTGGATGGAAGGAGCCCGTCCAACATTATATTCTAGGAAACATGTAAAACCCCTCCATCAATATAGACAATTTGAACACTTGAGGCGCAGATGAAACCCTGCCAAAAGTAAGGAAGCAAAAGCGTATTGGCTAAAGAACTTATAAAGAACATACCAATACAGGCAGGCGAAAGGCCATTGCTTCAATGGTTATCCTCCCAAAACATTCCCCCCTTCCCTGCAACGAAGAGAAAGCTCATGTCAAAATGCCAAGATTGAGAGATCTAATCCTTTGGAAGAAAAATCCAAGGCCATTATAATCACAAAAATCTGATTAATAATCTTCTGAATGTTTCATGGTGCTGCACCAGGGACATCAAACATAATTATATCATCCGTTCTTCACTGCAGTTTGAATTAATACGTAATGGAAGCCAAAACAAATAAATTGGCAACTAAAATTCTCATTAGAGCAGAGAAGTCATTTAGTCAAGCAGCAACTCATATACTGTGAAATGATAGAATGCAACATTTTTTTTGTTTTCTACTCAATAACGCATATTGTGAAATGATAGAATTGTAACATACTTTTCGTTTTCTACTCAATTTAACAATCCATATTATTAGAAATACCTGAGAATTCTGAACGAGAACATCAATAGCAGCCAGGTAAGGAGCCACTGTCAGGGTTTTGTTAATAAAGTGAACACGATCCTGAATCTTTTTGTCTACCACATATTTGCGCAGTTCTATTTCTAATGTTGTATGCGCACTAAAATCACTCCCCACAACTACAGCATGCAGTGCTGGCACCTGTAGTTTTTTCTGCTGGATCAGTTTCAGACTATCATGGAAGGAACGAAGAAACAGATCCTGGCCTTTACCACGTGAAACACCTGCAATCATATCATGC